GATGACATTAGGATGTTCTTCAACCTCTTAGTCCCAGCAGTTCAAACCCACAGTAACCCAGTTCCTGCTTGAAGTGTGCCTCTTCTCCCTGCAGCTGTCACCTGCCCAGTACTTAGTGCTCCAGAGCATGGAGAGCTGAACTGCTCCCACATCCATGGAAACTTCACCTTTGGCTCCACATGTGACATCTCCTGCCTGCCAGGGTTTGAGCTCATGGGGCCAGTGAGCCATGAGTGCACAGCTATGGGGACCTGGACTGGGGACACCCCACAGTGCAAAGGTAGAGCTGCTGGTAAAGATGTCACTGGCCTGAGATTGGCTCTGGGATGTTCTCAGCTGCATTAGCCTTCTCATCCCAACAGCTGAGTGTTGCAGCTCCCTGGCTCCTGCTTAAGATGTGCTTCTTTTACTTTTCAGCCATCAGCTGCTCAGTGCTCAGTGCTCCAGAATACGGAGAGCTAAACTGCTCCCACATCCATGGTAACTTCACCTTTGGCTCCACGTGTGCCTTCTCCTGCCAGCCAGGGTTTGTGCTGATGGGGCCGCAGAGCCGTGAATGTATGGCTAAAAGAACCTGGACTGGGGACACCTCACGATGCAAAGGTAGAGCTGCTGCTAGAGCTCATAGTGTCACTGATATTACCACAGGGCTGCCCTGTGCTGTCCTCAGCCTGTCAGTTGTCACTCAGCAGCCCCAACACCACATGCACACATAGGCCCATGATTCTCACCAGTGTCCCCCTCCACAAATGGTGACAGCACTGGTGCCTGTAGCGCCACTGCATTGCATCAGCCCTGAGCTTTCAGGGTGGGGGCCATGCCCCCCGCTTGCCCTATGCCTGCATCCAAAAGGCAGCTCCCAACTCTGTTGTACTGTTCTGTGCACTCCTGATACTCTGACACATGCTGGCACATCACTGAGGTGCTGCCATCGTGTCCCAGTAGTGAAAATCCTCTGTCCACAATGGCTGCCTCAAAGAGTTGGCACTGACAGCCCTGCAGAGCAAGGAACTGGGTCTGCCAACACTTCCCTGTCCAGGCATTAACACTCCTTGAGACCAGAACACCATCCCCTGCACCTAGCAGGCACAGACTGAATTGATCCAGAACTTCTGGGTTCCCCATCTCCAGACATGGAGATGTGCTCCTGCCAGCATGAACAGGATCTGCCCTGAGACCTGCTCTCCTTGCAGCTGTCACCTGCCCAGTGATGAGTGCTCCAAAGCATGGAGAGCTGAACTGCTCACATTTCCACGGGAACTTCACCTTTGGCTCCATATGTGACTTCTCCTGCCAGTCAGGGTTTGAGCTCATAGGGCCAGAGAGCTGCGAGTGCACAGCTATGGGGACCTGGAGCAAGAACACTCCACAGTGCAAAGGTAGAGCTGCTGCTAGAGTTTGGGGTGTAACTGGTATGGGGATGGCATTAGGATGTTCTTTATCCTCTTGATCCCAAAAGTTCAATCCCACAATTACTTGGCTCCTGCTTAAGGTGTGCTTCTTTTTCGTGTAGCCATCACCTGCCCAGTGCTTGGCGCTCCAGAGCATGGAGAGCTGAACTGCTCCCACATCCATGGAAACTTCACCTTTGGCTCCACATGTGACTTCTCCTGCCTGCCAGGGTTTGAGCTCATGGGGCCAGTGAGCCATGAGTGCACAGCCATGGGGACCTGGACTGGGGACACCCCACAGTGCAAAGGTAGAGCTGCTGCTAAAAGAGCCGTTCACCTGGAGTTCACCTTGGGATGTTCTTGGGCCTCTCATCCCAAGGATGAAGCCTAGCTGTTCCCTGGCTCCTGCTTGAGATGTGTTTCTTTTTCTTTTCAGCCATCACCTGCTCATTGCTTACTGCTCCAGAGCATGGAGAGCTGAACTGCTCCCATGTCTATGAGAACTTCACCTTTGGCTCCATCTGTGACTTCTCCTGCCAGACAGGATTTGAGCTGATTGGGCCACAGAGCCGTGAGTGCATGGCCACTGGAACCTGGACTGGGGACACCTCGCAATGCCAAGGTAGAACTGTGGTGGTCACATCTGCTCCTGGACTGTGTACCCTGATGAAGAGCTGCCCCTTCCCCAGGATATATCCCCAGTCTCTCCTCTGGGAGATAGAGAAGCTGAGCCCTGTGCACTCAAGCGGTGCAAGTGGAATGGAGCTGTGTAAGGATGCGGTGATGGTGCCCCCATTGCTGCCTTTATCCTGACACTTTCTGTGACCCCAGTAGGGCTACGCACAGTGAATACGTAGCATCATGAGGAGGCAGACTCTCTGAAATCTCCAGTTCTTCTGAGAACTGCCAGGACACTGCCCACTGCTCTGTGCTAGCAGATTGCTTTCCCCAGAATCCCTTTTCCCTGAGCACCCCAGCTCATCCCCTGCTCGTCCCCTGGCTCTCTAGCCCCTGTGCCCTCATTCCATTGCCAACAATTCTGTCTCATCAGTGTTGCTGCTGTGCTCTACCTGCAGCCATCAGCTGTCCAGTGCTGGATGCCCCCAGCCATGGCCACCTCAACTGCTCTCATCCACATGGGAACTTCACATTCAACTCCACTTGCAGCTTTTCCTGCAAAGAAGGATTTATCCAGATGGGAGCAGAGATGCTCAGGTGTTCAGCCACAGGGAACTGGACCAGGCATCCCCCAGTCTGTGAAGGTATGGTGGGGCTGTGCTTCCCAGCCTCCTGCAGTACATCTTGAGGCTGGAGGAGGCACCCAGCATCTTTGTCCCTGTGGAATTCCTTTGATAACAACCTGAGTGTTTGTGGGCCTTTTTCAGAGGATTCTGCTGCTTTTTTGAAACAAGTTCTGGTTTACACCAGCACCAGTGCCCTGGCAGCAATTGGCCTTGTGCTTTCCGGAACGCTCATCGCCTTGCTTGCCAAGCAGCTCAGCGACAGAGGTACTGAAACACCTGTAGCCAGGGGGTGCTTTGGCTAGGGACTCTCAGACCAGGTGGTTACAGAGCCCCAAGGAAAGAGTGTTGATCAAAAGAATTTATAGATTTGACTGTCTCATTCCACATCCTATGTGCTGTGGGTTGGCCCAATCCAGCAGCATCTCCCTGGCCCTGGGTCCTGCTGAGAGCATCAGCCACAACTTGGGGGCAGAAACAGAAAAATGCCATCATTGTTGAAGGGGCAAAAGGCAATTATTCCACGATAAGATGGAATGGGGTTGCGTGACACATTTGTTTTGGTTTGTCAAATCCTACTGCTGCTTCTCAAACCTCCACTAAAAAGATCTGACTCTTTCTTTTGTATCTGCACTCTCCATGGACACTTCAACTCCGCTTTCAGAGGAGAAGAAGAAGCTCCTGAACCCCACCAGGTAAGATTTGTACTTGGCAGGAGTGTCTCTAACTGCAGACGGGTGGATATCATCGTGGACCCCTCCCTACTACCATCACCTCTACCTGCATGTGTGAAGCTGCCTGTACAGCAGTAGGAGCATAGCTAGGGGCTAATGAGGCTGTGCCAACTGGTGTGCTTCAGAATACAAGGATTCTTCAAGGAGTCTCTGCAGAGTGCAGCCCCTGGGGGGAAATGGCTAAGACATGAGTGCTTTTCTCATGCAAGCATGATGTTTCCTATCTTTTTTTTCTCCCCCAGCTGACACTCTTTATGTTTTTTTCCCAGTGACCTGGGGGCACCAGGCATCTTCACCAATGCAGCCTATGACTCCACCTTGTAAGGTGAATGCCAGCGCAGTGCTTGCTGCACATTGGAAGGTGTGCATAAAAAATCCACTGCTTCTGGGCAGCACGTGGGCTTATCTGGATGGAAAACTCAGGGACCATAAGCCCAGCCACCTCACTTGTGTCACTTCTTCTATCTCACTGCAGGCGAAGTGGAGCCAGAAGAACTGCCCCCACCAGCACCGAGCCCTGACTGTACTTCGCTTTGCCCTGCAGACCCTTGCTGTCTGCTGGCCTGAAGCTGCACTCAGGGGCTGGGAGGGCAGAGCTGTGTACCTGCCCTAGTCTACACCCACGCGTGGGCAAGGCCGCTAAAGAGCAGCAGGGACGTGGAAAAGCGGACTGTAGCCACCCTCCCGTCCCCGGCCTGCTGCTGGGGCCGGGTCCGTGCCAACGGGCTCTCAATAAACGCCTTTGCCCTCGACCGAGGTCCGCGTGTGCTCCATGGGAGGTGGTCACAACGTGGGGGCGGAGCGCGTTGGGGCGGGCCTAGTATGTCCTTCTGAGGCCGCCGTAGGGGGCGGGGCTTCTGCCGGAAGTATACGTGTGCGGGAGTAGGAAGCCGGAAGCGATGGCGGCGGCGAAGGTCGAGTGGGAGCCCATGGGGCTGCTGCCGGCGGCGGGGGGCGGCCTCGACTGGGGTAAGAGCGACCGGGAGGGGTTGGTGACTGGGGATCCGGGACGGGCGCGTGGCCGGGCGGAGCTCGGCTCCCTGCTCGGCACCCGGTGCTGAGGCCGCTATCTCCCCGCAGAGACGGTGCTGGGCGAGGAGCTGGGCGAGCTGCTCGGTGCTGCGGAGTCGCGGCGCGCCTCGAGGGACGAGCCCGACGTGAGTACCGGCGGGCCGGGGCGAGGGGAGAGCGGCGCTGTGGGGCCGTGTGGCCACGGCTGGAGGGCGTCACGGGCACCTGCGGGCCGGGCGGGGCTGCCCGTCCCTTTGTGAACTGTCAGTGGCACGGCGGTGGGTTTGGAAGTCGCGTCTAAAGGCACTTGTTTGTCTGTTTGAGGGTTTTCTCTTCAACCTTGACTCCAACGCAGCAAATTAAACCCTGTGCTTTTCGCTGTGTGGTCACACCTCCTTCTGGCTCTGTCCTGGGGCATTTGCCTCGTGGATTTCCCACTCTCTGTGCCTCTTTCTGCCTTCCCTCTGTCTGCTGTGGCCTAACACACAGCCTGTGTGCTATCCCACATTAGTCCCGGGTAGTATGAGCATTCCTACAGGAATTGTAGGACAGGCACTAGGGAGAACTTTGGAACTGCTGGATTGTGTGAGGCCAAGCCATCGCTTTTCAGCATATTAGCATCAGTTACACGTGGGAGACTCTTACTGCACAGCTTGAGCGGTGGCTTCTGCTCATTCCTTTTCCTGGCATGCTCTGATGAGCTTTTTCTTCACCCTTGCCTGCAAATATCCATTTTTGTGTGATCTGTGGACTTTCTGAACCACCCTTTATGAGGCAAGCTGAGAATTTAAAGGAAGATATGTTTTCAGGAAAGGTTTTAGCAAGTAAATCCTACCTGTGTATTTATATAAACTGTATGTACAGTGTTAGAGAGCACTCTGTTTTTTGTGCTAGTACTGATAGGAATATTACATTTTGATAGAGAGCTGAGGTTTAGCAACAGGAAAATGTGAAGCAAAAAGATGGCTGTTGTTTCAAGGGCTGTACAGTAACTGATGTGTAGGAGGTGATTTTTATTCTCCTTTTTTTTTTCCTGTTGGATTGTGGAGCCAGTGTCTCTGGTTTTAAAAGGTGGTGATGTCAGTTCATTGAAGTGTAGAGAGGCCTGATTCATCTCTGCTGAGATGGTCAGTATGTTCCTGAGCAAATCACTCCTTGTGTCTCTCATTCTCTCGTTAAACTGATGCTGACACTATTTTTGTTTACAAGGTGCTTTGAGATCTGATGATGAAAGAGCATTAATCTTCCAATGAAGGTGAAGGAGAGTGATGGCAACTAGTCACCAATCCTGTAATTTATTCAAGGTGGTTCAGTGACTTCACTTAGAACTTTTGCTTTACAAATGACTGTCAACACAATGGTAATTAATGGTATTCTTGGACAGAAATGCTCTTATCCTACAACTCCAGGCTTTAAAAGAAGCCTCATCTCATGTATTCCAGTTGAGAATGTCCCTCTTAAGGCTGTATTCTTAAGGCAACTGAAGTGATAGTCCCTTTGCTTGTCCAGAAACATAAGAATGAGAACGTAACAGCTGATGGTCTCATTGTATATTGCCTTCTTCTCTTGTTTCTCTTTCTGAACAGTCATTTCAGGAAAATGATCTGTGTAACTTTCATTTTGACTTGGATTTGATGTCCTGGGACTCAGACCTTTGGAATATTACAAGCCACTCTTATTCAGGTAACTTATTAGCTAAATTTTGCTGGTATGACAATTCCATCCTGCTCCACAAGGGTGAGCTGTTACAGCTTTATGGTACTGGTAATTTTTGGGGCACTATTTGATCTAGTCCTATGGTGAGAAGTTATGCTGTGTTTCTGTAGCATGGGTACAGCTGGTAGGAGCTGCCCTACAATCTAAATATCTTTAATCTCACAATTTTCTGCTGTGTCTTGCTTTGGGAATCAAATAGCTGGTATAGAGTGATGTTCTTCACTGATTTCCCCTTGTAAAGAACTTGTACAGAGAAAAATTCTTTATCTTTTGCAGATGCAAATGTGAAGACTGAGCCCTTATCACCAGCCCCTTCAACTTGTTCGGTCCCTTCTCCATCATCTGCGGACTCTCCAGTGCAGAATGTGCCTGTATGCAGAAACCTCCATGTCACATAGATAGCAAGATTAATTCAGGCCCAGCTGAGAGAAGCAAAAAAAAAAAACTATTGATTTATCTATCTGGTTAACTTCATAGCATAAAAAGAAACTAATTTTTTTTTTTTTTTTCAACCCTTGCAAAAACAACTTTCCTTCAATTATGTTTTCCTTCTTCTAGTCCTGTAATCCATTCCTAAAAAAGCATGTTCAGTTCTGTTTCCTCAGTTGTGTTTATTGGCCTGTTTGCCAAACAAAATACCTTCTAAAGGTGTCTGAGTCTAGCAGTTGCTGGTCTCTCCACCCTTTTGTTCTGCTGATATAGAGTGGTGCTGCTTTGGTTGTCAGTGGTACTTGGCACTGAATAAGATAGCAAAGGAAAGCGTTTCTCCTGTTTCCTTCAGTAGCAACACCTGTGATGAAAGACAGTTGTACTCTGAATTTCTTGTAGTCACTTTTATCTATTTCTGAAGTAGTAGTCTCATCTACTTTCTGTTTGCAGGATGATATGGATTTCAGCTGCAGTTCCCAGCTGTCTCCTATCTCCCTCTACTGCAAGAGCTCCAGAAGCCCTGCGTCCTCTGAAGGAGATGCAGAGAAGAAACCAATCGTTGGCGTCACTTCTCGGTCCGGTACGAGAGATTGAGTTACTTAGATTCCACACCTATAGATACATCAGTTTTAACAGATATAGATGGACAATGAAACATACCAAAGGCCACGTTATCTCTACTGAAATTTTTCACTTTAGAATTTCTGATCCAACTCAGTCTCTTTCTTTTCCTAGCGAATAATTCTGTGAAGACTCTGAAGAAATGTGGTCAGACAGCGTCTAGGCCATCAATACAACCAAAGCCTCTTTTGCCTGCTGTACCTGAGGCTCAGGCTAACATTGGCATCCCAGCTAAAACAATCATTATTCAGACACTTCCAACACTTGTGCCACTGCCAAAGCATCAGCCAGTTGTTAACATCCAGCCAGCACCTCCCAAAGGTAGGTGAATTGTCATCACGGAGCCAAATCCTGGGGGTAAACACTATGTCTGTTTGGGATAGTCTCTAGATTGAAGTTACATGTGGCAGGTGAAACAGGAAGGGTAGGAAAAAAGAAACAGGAGGGGTAGGATTAAGAGAAGAGTGATGCATGCTTTGCTGAAAAAGCTTCATGCTAAGAAAACAACCTAAATTCTCTCTTATGTAGCTGTGTGAAAAACATCAGGTACCTGAACATTATGTGGAATAGAAGACAAAAGAGGTTATCCTCAGCATTAGGAGTCATGAAGATAAAGCTGCTGATCTGGATGGATCTCTAGGAATCTTTTGCTCTGTTCTACTTGTGATTGACAAATGATGCATAAGTTTAATCCAGTTGTACTCTGTTTTATCCAAAGGAAGATCAACAGAGTCAGTAAGGATGGCTGAATGAAACTTGAAAACATGGGAAGGAGGAGTAAGCCATTCTCACCCATGTGAAACATGAGTTTATGGCTTTTTATATAACTAAATAATATTAAATAAGCTGTTACAAAATCTGCTAAAAGTTATGAGAGTGGTGTTAGGAGTTAGAGTACTTCCTTAAAACTATAAGCTGATGATAACAAGGTCAGATTTCCTGTCCATCTGTATGTTTTCATTCCTCCTGTTACTCTGTAACTGGTTTATTTAAGCCTGGGTCTTCATTTCAGAATCCTGAGCATTATTTATTCTTCTGCCAAGAGAGCAGGAACATTACTTGCATTGCAGAAATAGTCAGATGCAGTTGCTTGTTTCCACCACCTGATGGCTGCATATTCTTGCAATTGACTACACAGCCGATAACTGGGAGGGAAAGGAGATAAATACATTCAGTGAAAGTATCTAGAAATTATTTTAATAGTGAAAAATTTCTTTCTTACTAATTGCTCAGCCATCAAAGGAACTAAGCCATGGCTGGGCAGGCTGACATTTGTTGCAACATGCTTAAGGCTGATGGTCTACTTAAAACAGGTCAGCGCAGTCAGCGTGACCTAATTCTTACTGTCTGATGTTCCAGCTGATAAAATACCATCTGGAATAAGGGATGTTGGAGGTACACGTTTTTTTTGTTATAAATACAGTGGTGTGAAGATCAGCTTCTTTTCCCTGAGAGCAGCTTCTATGAGGCAGTAGAGGTAAAGAACGTATTTACTTTGACGGTGCACTTTAGAATTCTTTAGTGCTATTTCTACCACAAAAACCATAGGAATTTTTTTCACTATTAAAAATTCTCTGCACGTGGCAGGAGCTGCCAGATTAAAACGTGCCATTAGTTTCAAGGAGTGTGAAGAGCAATGCCTTTATAGGCCTTTCCGTGAAAGCTTAGAAGAAGAAGAAGAAGGCACAATGTTAGACCATCACATGTTCTACGTATAAAAAAATTGTTGGAAGTATCTCAAATTTACCATTTGAAGTTGTTGAGTAGGATAGTGCAAGCTTACTGTGCCTTTTAAGATCGTCTGTGCAATAAGGAGACCTAATCCTACACCTCAAACATAAGACCTTGGAGTGCTAGGTAAATGACTTCATCTTCCAGAAAGTTGGCTAAGTGTTGTAGTACGGAGTCGTGCATATTGATTGGAATGTCAGCTGGAATGTGCTGCTTCTAAAAGGCAGCCAGGTCATCTTGTTAC